GATCTCTTATTGTTTTTCCCTCATAGGTATAGACCAAGATGATGTGGCAGGAAAAGGTTGGGGGGCTTGCCCCCTAACTGCTGTACTGGGGGCAGAGAACAGTGGTGATGTTGGGAAATGGAAGGGCCCTTTGCAGTTGGGGAGGAGTTTTAGAGGAGCTGGGGCATTTTTTCAGAAATACCCTGAATGTGTCCCTTTTCCAGGGCCTGATACAATAACATCTAGTGGGCTCCATGGCTTTCGTGGTGAGATCTTACTAAAGAACACTTAGCCTGATAAATTAAGAGGAGGAAAGGTAACTGGCTATTCTAAGGTACCTACCTTTCCTTTTATATCATTTTTACATTTCTCTTATTTTGGAAAATGTGTGCAAGTAGAACTTTTTTTAAAACTTAGAAATAGTGTTACATTCTGAGTAATTGTTTTTTCTTTTTATTGAAGTAGAGTTGACACACAGTGTCCCGTTAGTTTCAGGTGTAGAGCATAGTGATTCCCCAAGTCTACATTATGCGGTGCTCACAAGTGTAGCTACCATCTCTACATACGATGCCGTTGATTGTATTCCCTATGCTGTAGCTTTCATCCCTGTGATTTATTCAGTCCAACATTCTGAGTAATTTATTTTTTTCTTTAGAGAGGGAGGGAAGGGGAGGCGGAGAGGGAGATAGAGAATCTCAAGCCGACTCCCCCACTGAGCTTCGAGCCTGACGTGGGGCTCAATCTCACCACCCTGAGATCATGACCTGAGCTGAAATCAAGAGTCGGCTGCTTAACCAGCTGAGCCCCCCAGGCGCCCCCTGAGTAATTTCTAACGTTAGTACTGCTGTCAGGTAGTCACCTGTGTGATGCCACTCTCCTGAATGATGATTTCAGAACTGATGTGAATAGGTGCTGTGCTGGTTTTGTAAGCTCTCTCTGGGTAAGGGCTGAGTCCTGTTTACACTTGTGTCCCAGTGCCTTCCAGTAATGCCTTACACATAACAGACCTGGTTTTCATTTGGTCCAGCCACAGGTAACATCTGGGACCTTAGGTTCCAGGTTAACTTTAGACCTGTTTCCTTGTTGCCCTCTTCCCTGGTAGAGAGCCTAGACAGGATGTGGGTGGAAGGAAGAGTTTTTTACCTCCTCCTCTTGTTTGTATTCTGTTTTCTGCATTTTTAGTATAACATTTTTATAATTCTGTTGCTATATGAAATTTGCTTGTATTTTTGTTGGCTTAGAACATTCCTGGGGGGGGGTACAGGGAGAATGACACATTTTTATTTACCTGGATCGCTAAAAATACCACAGGAAACTAGGGACATTATTTGCTTTTAGGCAGGGAAACAAGGCGACTTGGGGGCAGGAGTGGGAGGGAGATTCTGCACTTTTGTACCTCGTGCACTGGGACCATGTGATTGATATTCCCTGAAGGCCTTTGAAAGCGGAGATGGAGCAAATGCTCAAGAGCATCAGAAAAAGGTACCCTAAAAATCCAGTTTAGTAAAAATAAATACAAGAGAGGATTATCAGGGGCACCTGGGTGGCTCAGTCGGTTAAGCATCTGCCTTAGGCTCAGGTCGTGATCGGGTCCTGGGACTCAGCCCCGCATCAGGCTCCCTGTTCAGTGGAGAGCCTGCTTCTCTCTCTCTGCTGCAGCTCCCCCTGCTTGTGCTCTCTGCCTCTGTCAGATAAATAAGTAAAATTAAAAAAAAAAAAGTATTATCAGTTACTTTCTTTTTTTTAATTTTTTCTTTAAGATTTTATTTATTTGACAGAGCACAAGCAGAGGGAGAGAGAGGGAGAAGCAGGCTCCCTGCTGAGCAGGGAGCCCAACTCAGGACTTGATCCCAGGACCCTGGGATCATGACCTGGGCCAAAGGCAGCTGCTTAACCGACTGAGCCACTCAGGCGTCCCTCTTTTTTTAAATTTAGGGAGAAAAGGAGAAAAGAGAGAACCCAGTCTGCTTAATGCCTAGTGGCTTCCAGTGTCTTTCATTCTGTGGGTTTTGTACATAGGAATTTGTGACCTACTTTTGAGTATGTTAAGCCTTTATTGCATAGTTACCTTCAAGAAACATATACTTTTGTTAGAAATTTTATTTTATTTTATTTATTTTTTTTAAAGATTTTATTTATTTATTTGAGAGAGAGAATGAGAGATAGAGAGCACGAGAGGGAAGAGGGTCAGAGGGAGAAGCCGACTCCCCGCCGAGCAGGGAGCCCGATGTGGGACTCAATCCCGGGACTCCAGGATCATGACCTGAGCCGAAGGCAGTCGCTTAACCACCTGAGCCACCCAGGCACCCTATTTGTTAGAAATTTTAGACAATTCTAATCAAAGGGGAGCTTTTTTATATAATACATATTTTAAAAATTACCATAGAGACTTGAATGAATGGGATCATTCCTCTCCTAGCAGTGGAGACTTTGTTCTCTTGCCTGTTGCTTCCTACCTGAGCATGAAGTCTGACCTCCTTTCCCTGAGTGAGAGCAGAACTAGGCCAGACTTTTTTTTTTTTTTTTTTAGAATTTTTTTTTTTTTTTTTCAGAGACACAGAGAGAGAGAGGGAACACAAGCAGGGGGAGTGGGGGAGGGAGAAGCAGATTCCCCCCTGAGCAGGGAGCCCGATGCTGCACTCCATCCCAGGACCCTGGGATCATGACCTGAGCCAAAGGCAGATGCTTAACGACTAAGCCGCCCAGGCGCCCTGGGCCAGACTTACAATCACAAGTGTTTGAAGGTGGGGAAAGGAAACTAACTGGCCATGTGGCCTTGGAAAATTACTTACCTCAGTTTCTTTATCTGTAAAATAGGGATTTCAATACCTACTTTATACAGTTGGTTGGAGAATTAAAGATAATGTATATAAATAATCTAGAATGGAACTTGACACCTCAAGTAGATGCTTAAAAACTGTATGATTATTATTATTGGTTAACGTCTGTTGATTTTAGGCCCCTTGAAGGAATAAAGGATGGGAGATTCTTTTCAATGAGAATGAAAGATGTTTAGGGGAAGGCGGAGTACATCTGTTATCTGTCGGTGTATAACAAACTACTGCGGACTTAGTGGCGTAAAACAACAATGAAATATTATTTCTCATAATTCTGTGGTTTGGCTGGGTAGTTTTTTTTTTGCTTGTCTCCTTAGACTTATTTGTGTAGCTGCAGTCAGATGATGACTGAGAGGGCTAAGTGGTCCCCAGTGGACTCACTCACAAGTCCAGCAGTGCTTCTGGCTGCTGGTTGGGGCGTGTTGGTTCTCTTCCACATGGCCTCTCCAGTTCCAGAAGCTTCCTCACCGCATGGCAGGCCCAGGGTGGCATTCTAAGAGGGTGAGCCGCAGTGCTTGCCTATCAAATCTCTGCTTTCTTTTGCAGTTGCTGACTTGCCACTGGCCAAAGCAGGTCACAGGGCCAACCTCGGGTCACTGTGGGAGGGGACTAAGGCCCCACCTTGGTGGGGGAAAAGAAACCAAGAATTTGTGGTCATTTTTAATCCACCACAAACCCACCCTTGTTTGATTTGCTTCTTGGGCTAATATTGGGCCAAGAAAGAAAAGGTTCTGTTAGTTTCTCCAGTTTTCCTGTATCACTGATGCCTTCTTTAGACCAACATAGGAGCTGATTAAGGAACTGGGGATATTTTGTTCGGACTAAAAATTGGAATGAAGGGTAATAGCTGCTTTTATGTACTTGAAGATCCTTCTTATGAAGGAGGGACCAGCTCCAGGATATGGAAGTGACTGGAAAGCAGCTATCTCCTCTGCCATGTGAGATAGTGGGTCTTCTCGAATGCTGTCCTGCCCGCAGTCCCTACGCTCAGATGGGTAATCGTGTGTCAGAGTCTTTTGAAGGAGATCTTCCGCATTGAATGACTCGACTTAAATTATTCCTGTTGGTGTCAGAAGTCTCTGATTCTGGAACTCAGGAAGTGCACTGTGCTCTTTATCCTGAGGGTAGGGATGGATGAGGTGATGTTAGAAAGGGGAAGAATTCCTCTGCACAGACTTGTAATTTTACTTGATGTACAAGTTCATATTTACCTGCTAGAACCCCTGAGAGTTGGGATTGACTGTTGCTGTGAGGAACAGTTCTATTTAGTACAGAGTCAGGGAGCTGCATCTTGAAGACAGGTTTTCTGTGAGTCTTCTTAGGTTAGAATGAAAAGAATCAAGACAAGAAATTGAAGTTAGAAATAGATGTGTATAATTGCTCCAGCAGCCGTAGATTAACTGTTCAGCTTACTGAGTTTGTCTAATGAAAACAATTTTGGTATAACTTTCCCGTAACATGATCTTGAGATCTCCTGATTTTATATATAACATAATACCAGGTCCAAATGGTGCTGTTGTCAGCTGAGAATACTGTCCGTGAGCGATCAGCGTGTGGGCCTGTTCCCATTTCTCCCTCTCATCACCCCGTCTTCTTTGTTGGAGGGAGAAGGAGGAGGCAGGGATCACCGTTCATTCTGTTGTCAAGCTACTGAGCAAGAGGTTTGATGGAGGTGCTGTCTTTGGTCTATGTTACCAGGCCGGCCACTTTGGTCAATGGTGTTTCTATGGAGCCTGCCCCATTTCCAGCACTGGGTTTTTTTTGTTTTTTTTTTTTCTTTAGAAAACTCAGAGTAAGGCAATAAGCTACAGTACCTCCAGTGATTCACACACAGAGTGGTGTTAAGTTTTCGGTGGGAAGCAAAATTTAAGCTACAAATAAATATGCTAGCTGAAGCGGAAGATTGCTTTCCTGACTGGCTCATTTACAAGCTGGAAAGTTGTGAAAAACATCAACCTACCAACTATATAGCTCATTGGCTCTTTGCTTTGGGCTTCCATGTTCTTCCTGGTAAAAATAATAATTATGTTTTTCAGATATGGTTGCCAAGCATTCATGCTTCTCACTCCACTTGTGATTATAAATGATTCTGCAGCGCGAATTGCTTTGTCTTTGATTTAATGTTTCATAACATTTGGAAGTTACGTTATCTGTGCTGATTTGTCGTTCTCTTTCCCTTTTCAGAATGGACTGCTGAATTATGAAGAATTTCAGACCCAGTAGTAGAACCTCACTCGGCCACTCACTCCTTTATCTTCTACTAGTTATTTAAATTGGACTTTTAATATCCCACCAGCTGCTCTTCAGACACACATGGTGCATTGTTGCCATTCCCCGGATTGCATCTTTGAAACACAGGCTCTTAGTAGATTTCAGCGAACAAAGAGGCAACCTCCTGGGTACATTTACTGGGAGGGTGTCACCCTGACTGCCCTCTAGCTTCTGCCGGATCTGGATTTGAATTCCACCATGGAGCCTCGCATGGAGTCCTGCCTGGCACAGGTGTTGCAGAAGGATGTGGGGAAACGACTGCAGGTTGGCCAAGAACTTATAGACTATTTCTCAGACAAACAGAAGTCTGCTGACCTTGAACATGACCAGACCATGTTAGATAAACTTGTGGATGGGCTTGCTACCTCTTGGGTGAACTCTAGCAATTACAAGGTAAGCTGTGCTTTAGAAGGCACTGGTGTAGGTGGCTGGGCTGCCTCGGTGGGTCAGAATTGGTCCTTAGATAAAAGACTCGTTTGGGAGCAGTCAGCACAATTCCTTGGCTTCCAGTAAGACACTCACGTAGGCTGTGGCATTTGGATGTTTTATTCTGGAGCAAGTAGGGTTTTCTTTAATTTTTGTTGGGGATCAAAAAAATCCTTATGCTTTAGTACTTTGAGAGAAGGCCAAGTGAGCAGATAAAGAGAGGCTTTATGTTGGAAAGTTTACGATCATTTGCAGCCTTGAAGTTAAAGTGAATGTTCTATCTTGCACTGAAAGGGTCATGAGACTTTGGTGAGTGGCCCTTCATGAATAGCAGATGTCTTCACTGATTTCCTGTGGGGAATGGAATTGGCGATAGCATGTGGAGCATTTTACCTTCAGGTCATTGTTTTGAAGTTGGCCTAGGTACCTGGCTAGAAATAGTATGGGTTGCCGAGGACTCTTCTGTGACTTGTATGTAATGGCCTGGAGGATATCCTTCAAGTTCAAAAGATTGAGGTGGGCATGTGCCTTTGGTGGGTAGGGGGTGCAGGCAGGGATCCCAAGACCCAAATGAGTTGTGAAGGTTGACCATTTTACCATTCAAGGATTGAGCTTTCGTGACTAAAAACTGGACTGGACTTGTACTGCAGAGGTGTCATTCTCTCTGCCTGTCCCCTTCCCCTCTTTTAGTTTGCCAAGGGAGTGGCCCCTTTGGGTCAAGATTGGGATGGAAGAGTAGGGCGTCTGTATGACTCCTAATAGGTGCCATAGACATTGAGAAAGGGGCTCAAAGGAAACAGAATCTGTTGTGCTTTTTTATTGGCTCAGTCTTCTGAGATTGGTTTGGACTTGGAAACTGGTGCGTGTAGGATTTTTTTTGTTTGCTCTAGCGTAGACTCTTGTTTTCCAAATTCATTAAACCTTGGTCTCATCTAAGAGTCAGCAGGCTTTATACTCATTAAGGCTGTTACCTAGGACCCTGATATTTTACTTACAATTGCATATAAAATTTATCCTGTCTTTGAAGGCTGAGCTTAATTTTTGTTTCATTCATCTATTTATTTATTTAGCTGCAGATGACAAGTGCTGCTTATGTGCCCAGCCTTGGTGCTGGGTGATGGGAATGTTACAGACAGGGGAGGTGGTAGAGGGTCTGGTCGCTCCATTTTTGGGGGCTGTAAAGTCACTTCGTCTGGGTTGGAATCCCAATTCCACCACTCTGGGTGCACATTGCGATGTTTTTGCCTGAGAGTAACTGAGGACTGACTTACTGGCTTCAAACTGCTATCAGGAGATTGAGTGATTTTCTTTCAGAGTTTAAGAAGTCTGCAGTAGCTAAGGCAGTGTCCAGGGAAGAGTGTCTGCTTGTGTCTTTTACTTGGAGGGAAACCTTTGTCAGAAGCTCCCCGGCAGACCTTTGTACATCAGATTGGCCAGAATGGCTTTGCATGGCCACCCCAGCATCACTGGAAAATAGATTGGTGTCCATGATTGTTTTCCACCATCATGCTTGACCTCCTGATCTCAAGAAGAGTCCAGCCTCCATTGAGTGAAACATGTGGCTGTGTGAAGGAGGGGGGATATTTGAATACTGTCAGACTCCTCTCAACAAATACTGGTTCCATGAGTGAATAAGTACTCCCTAAGCGTCCAGTCCAGTAAGGGCAGATAATGAAACAAAGAGCTCTACTCCAACCATAATGTGCAACTGTGCAACATCAGACCTTTGAGCAATATCAGACTTCTGTTAATATATAAAACTCATGCTTTATATATTATGGGTTGAAGGAGAAAGTTAGGGATGGGACTGAGGTAATAGGGATGTTAAATAGGTAACCCAGAGAGTCTGCTGTACTGCATGAGCTCTCTTAACCTCTCCTGGCTTCGGGCTTTAGTTCCCTCATCTACAGTGTTGGGATAACTGAGTTATTATGAGTACTAAATGTGACAGTGTATGTTGGTGGGAATGCAAACTGGTACAGCCACTCTGGAAAACAGTATGGAGGTTCCTCAAGAAGCTGAAAATAATAGAGCTACCCTACAACCCAGCAATTGCACTACTAGGGATTTACCCCAAAGATGCAAATGTAGTGATCCGAAGGGGCACCTGCACCCTGGTGTTTGTAATGGTGATATCCACAATAGCCAAACTATGGAAAGAGCCCAGGTGTCCATTGACAAATGAATGGATAGAGAAGATGTGGTATATATACACACAATGGAATACTACTCAGCCATGAACAAAATTGAAATCTTGCCATTTGCAACGACATGAATAGAACTAGAGGGTGTTACGTTAAGTGAAATAAGTCAATCAGAGAAAGATGATTGTTATATGATTTCACAAATATGTGGAATTTAAGAAACAAAACAGAGGAGCATAGGGGAAGAGAGAGAAAAATAAAACAAGACAAAATCAGAGAGGGAGACAAACCCGAAAGAGACTCTTAATCATAGGAAACAGTGAGTGTTGCTGGAGGGGAGGAAGGTGGGGGGATGGAGTAACTGGGTTATGGGCATTAAGGAAGGCACGTGATGTAATGAGCACTGGATATAAGACTGATGAGTCACTGACCTCTATCTTTGAAACCAATAATACACTATATGTTAATTAATTGAATTTAAATGAAAAATAAAGTGCATATCTAAACAACAACAACAAAAAATAAATGAGACGGTGTATCAAGTCGTCCCATGTCTGCTGCATAACAAGCACTGGGATATTAGCGGTGGTTATCAAGACTGGTTCCTGTCTTCCAGGAGCTCCTAGTACAGGGGGAGTGGGGAGGGAGAGCACTGATCAGCAAGCCAAGGGTTACAGTATAATATAGTGGGAGCAGTAGCAGAGACCTACAGAATTGGGTGGGAAGCCAGAAGAACATGACAACACTGCGTGGAGGAATCCAAGGTTTGAAGATTGGGTAGTTTTTTTCAGAATAGCGTTTTCAGGGTCACAAAAGTGTGAAAAATTAAGATTTGACCCTTCTCAAAGTAACTTATAAGGAAGACAGCTTGGTGTGAAGGAGAAGTCAGGAAGACGGGGTTTACTACCGAGTTGCATGTGATCATGGACGAGTCACTTCACCTGTCTGCAATGCTGGTGTTGGACCAGGTCATCTCTTGAGAGCCTCCAAGCTCTAATATCTTACACAGCTTCATACCGATGGCTTTACGGTCCGGGCCATGTCAGATGTTTCTAATGTTACACAGTACTGAGCACCCCCTTTCTTTATAAGCTCTCTCAGTGTGGTGACACCGAGCCCTCTGCATGCCTGGAGCCCGGAGCCTGGAACATAGAAGGTGCTCAATGAATACTGGTTGCATGAGTGAACTCAGGAGCTTAGACTGTTGGGCAGGGCAAGTAGTCCTGGTAGCTTTACCAAAATCTGAAAACTTACCTTTTAGACCCCCCTCCTTTTTTTTTTTTTTTTTAGGTTTTTAAAATTCATTTGAGAGAGAAAGCACAAGCAGGGGGAGCAGCAGAGGGAGAAGGAGAAGCAGACTCCGTGCTGAGCAGGGAGCCTGACATGGGGCTTGATCCAGGACCCTGAGATCAGGACCTGAGCCCATCATGAGTAATTGCTTAACCGACTGAGCCACCCAGGTGCTCCAAAGGTTATGCAATTTCTAATTTTGACATATACTCCCAAATTGTTCTACACAAAGGTTGCTCTACTCTATGCATGAATGTATGAGTGCTGGTTCCCTATATATTTTCAGATGCTGGGTATTATCAAAGTCTTTCATTTTTGCCAAAATGATAGTATAAAAGCGTATCTTTTTAATTGTTTCTCTTTAATTTTGGGTGAAATGTACATTTTTTGTTTACTAACCACTTGTATTTTTTTCCTGTCAACTGCTTATATCCTTTGTCCATTTTTCTATGTTTTGGTGTTAATTTGTACAGTCCGTTTCTGTATTATGGAAGTCAGCTTGTCATATGTGCCATTTGCCTTTTGTCTTTGTGGATTGTTCTATTTTTATTTTTTTAAAGATGTATTTATTTATTTGCTAGAGCACAAGCAGGGGGAATGGCAGGCAGAGGGAGACAGAGAAGCAGGCTTCCCGTTGAGCAGGGAGCCTGACATGGGGCTTGATCCCAGGACCCTGAGATAATGACCTGAGCTGAAGGTAGTCCCTTAACTGACTGAGCCACCCAGGCGTCCCTGTTCTCCTCCCACATCCCTTTTAATCATAGATAAGATTTCTCATTAGAGCCTCAGGTGCCTTTTAGGTTTTATTTGACATGCTTTATATATTATGGATTGAAAGGATTCACTTTATATTAAAACTTTGCAGCTTGGCTTCTTGGTTTTTTTTTTTTTTTTAAATTAAGGACTAAAAAGAAGGAGAAAATGGAAACAATTTTAGGCTTTCAAAGCAGTAGTACTTGGGTATTGTTATTCCTTAACAAAGAATGTAGATGAATGTCAACGCCGTGTCTTATTTAAAAAAATAGTTGGCTGGGGCTTGAATCATTTTACATTTGATTATTTCTTAACTTGGTAAACATATTTGTTTTTGGCATTAATTGTAGTTTAACAGCTACCCTTTATTGTTTAGTTACTATGTATTCAGGATGTTACCTGTCTTATCTCCTTTAATCTTTGCAACGCCCCTGCAAGGTAGGTGGTGCTACCCTGATTTTATACATAAGGTAACTGAGATCACCCAGAATTATGAGGTAATTCCTACTCGTGATTATGGAACTGCGACTTCAACATAGGTCTCCCTGATTTCCTAGCCTCTGCCCCTCTCACAAGAACAGGGTCTGTAAACTTTCTTAAAGGCCACATAGTAAATATTTAAGGCTCAGTGGGCCATATGGATTTCTCACAAATATTTAACTAGTTTGGACCATTCTAGTGCAAAAAACAGCCACGGGCAACACACAAATGAATGGGTATGGCTGTGTTCCAAAACAACTTAATCTATAGAAACAGATGGAGAACCAGTTTGGCTCATGG